CCCATCTCAGCCAAGTCCATGGTCTTCGGGGCCTAGTCACTGACGGAATCCAGCGCAGGCACGGCTGAGCGGTCTCTTCTATGACCATGTATGGCCCCAGAAAGCATATTTTCCGTCTCCCAGTAGTCATGAGCTGGTCATGCAAGACGCTTTCAACGACTTGCATAATTGTTGGCAGGTGGAAGATAGATCATGCGTCTGGATGGTCTGTCGTTTTTTGTTAGCAAATTAGCCCTACTAGAGCGCATTTTCATGCACGCTTACTGAGCCTACAGGCTGAACAATCATAAACGCGGCTGGTTCTGGCAAATATGAAAGCAATAGCGCTTGTGGCGTACCTGATTCTGATCCTATGCACTAAGGCCAGTAGCCACGAAATAAAGTAAGCTGTCAGGTTCTGGTTCCAGTGGGTCAACTCTGGGTTAACCAAATGCGACTTGCCGAGGCGATGATATTCGGAAGCGTTCATCCTGGCCTTCGCGGAACAAGTCTGGACCATTTGAGCATTATGGCGCCGCTGTCATTAGAGTGATCCATCTCATGTTGAGTATAGGGTGGCGAAGCGTGTCCATATCGATTGGCTGACAGGAAGATCCACCGCCTGTCCCGCAAGGCGGTCTGGCTGGGTCTGGACTGTCCGATGACGCACGCTCGCGGCTGTGACTGACCCGATGGCGTAATGTGAGTTGTTGGGAGCGCCGACAGTGATGTCTGGAGTGCTGAATTGCCTGGGTTTGACTAGAATGGGACGCGAGAGATTCATCGTTCGCAGTACGATCTTGCACTTCCGCGCTCATGCTGGCCATGCCATGACACTGCTCGCATGCGGCGCTGGCCTGCCTGTCGACCTTCTGATGCTCGGGCGTGTGTGTTGGGGGGAATCCTGACTGCGGTCGATGATCGGCGGTGCTCGGGTGGGGCAAGTGTGGCTGATCGGCGGTGCTCGGGCAGGGTAAATGTGGCTGATCGGCGGTGCTCGGGCGGGGCAAGTGTGGCTGATCGGCGGTACTCGGGCTGGGCAAGTGTGGCTGATCGGCGGTGATTGGGCGAGGCAAGTGTGGCTGATCGGCGGTGCTCGGGCAGGGCAAGTGTTGCTGATCGGCGGTGATCGGGCGGGGCAAGTGTGGCTGATCGGCGGTGCTCGGGCAGGGCAAGTGTGGCTGATCGGCGGTGCTCGGGCGGGACAAATGTGGCTGATCGGCGGTGCTCGGGCGGAACAAATGTGGCTGATCGGCGGTGCTCGGGCGGGACAAATGTGGCTGATCGGCGGTGCTCGGGCGGGACAAATGTGGCTGATCGGCGGTGCTCGGGTGGGACAAACGTGGCTGGTCGACGGTGCTCGGGCGGGACAAATGTGGCTGATCGGCGGTGCTCGGGTGGGACAAACGTGGCTGGTCGACGGTGCTCGGGCGGGACAAATGTGGCTGACCGGTATGCTCGGGTGGATCAGGCGCGGCTTAGATGATCGGTGGTGCTCGGGCAGGACAAGTACGACTCCTGACTTTCGTATGCAGTCGCGTGTGACTGGTGCAACTGAGTCCAGCACTCACAGAGCCATCTGCAGCAAGGTTTGCCGTTTTGGGTATCACTCTGTTGTGATTGCTCTGGAGCAGTCGTCATGGTGCTGCTCATGGTTGATTTTTTCTAGGTTATTTCTCTCCTGATTATGACGGCACCGAGCCCTGTCATCCAACTGCGTTTGAGAGCCCTTGAAATTATGCCTTTAGCGGTAAGATCGTGGGGGCCTCTGTAATGGCATATTATGATTTTAGCTTACTGGACGCGGTTGGGACAAAGGGCGGATACGGCATCTAGGTGGTCAATCGCCATCCTGAATGCTGGTCTGGCTGCACAACACTCATAAAGACCACTTCGCAAAGCCTCTACTTCAGTGAACGACCGGGCCTAGAAGGGCGTGGCTCATGCAAGTAAACGTTTGAATTACCAGACATTGTGATGTGACTCTCCGAAAAATGTGCGTTTATGTGCTGTAACTGGTTCTTCAGGCCATCAAATTCGTTGGAAATTTTACAGTGAGGTGGTGAATATTGAATAGACCAAAACACACAATGTCTAACGGCTATGATCATGCATGGACATCCGCCAGATTGATATGTTTGAATTGGCAATACCTGCTACTGGCTTTTTGGGACTTAAAACATATTATGATCACGGATTAAGTGAACCTTCCGCTGTGTCGGTATTATGACACGTTCATTTAAAATAAATAAAGATGACCGTATTTCACTAAATCGAATCCTTCGTGATTCAAAAATGAAAAATTATGCAGTAACTTGATCTAACCATGGGTTTTACTTCATGAACACAAATAAAACGACAGAGACGGATTATCTGTAAAAATGCGTCTAAACCTCATGTTACGCGATTGTTGCACCCCATTTAGATGAAAAGTGCGGCGACAAATTCCAGGGAGCTTTCTTATTTTTGTGGTGTTAAAACCTTGGAAACCCGTGGACCCCAGACGGGCATGATTTGTAGCAGAATGATGGACAGTTGCCAACTTCCATGGACATCGAGAATGTTACGTCTCGCAGTCGCCATGTGCCGTTAAGTGCAGACTAATCATACACCACCGCACACCACACAGCGATCTTGCAACGCATACCCTTGGCGATCTTAATCTTTTCGGTTCAAGAGTTGCTACTCACATTCGTGGGCAGATAGCAACAAGCTCTGCTCTCCCAGCAACAAGCTCTGCTCTCCCAGCAACAAGCTCTGCTTAGCTGGGTGGACTCCCTGGAAATCCAGCCCAAAACCCAGCACAAAAATGACCAGGTAATTGCCCCCTCCGACTTGTGACTGTATAACCCTTACTAACACCGGGAATTGAGTGGTTGTAGATTATTGGGCGGTTGTAGCGGGCTGTCATTAGCTGATTTTGGCTAATGACTACTTTAAGCCTTTTCATCTATGATTTTTCCCTCCCTCTCACATAACACAATTCCCTCGGGTCTGCTCCACCTCCTCGCCTGTTTTTTTAAGTTTGTTTCATCTTCCTAGCTGGGAGTGCCGCGACTTGATTTTATGTTTTCTGGTGTTAACGTACGGTTTACTGCGTCGCTGGGATTGAGGGAGGGGCACTCCTGGTTACCTGTTCTTGGGTAACGGCGTAGAAAAAATAAAAAAAATAAAAAAAGATAGAAAGTGAAGCAACTAACTATATTTTGCAAGCCGCAACCAGTGTTAACGAACTATATCTTCTAAAACATACCAACCCACAACAGACTCGCCAAGAGGTTCCCAGATGCACAGCACGTCAGAAATCATGATACATCATAACTCAAATTTTGTCCCCCATTACCTCATTATGATAGCCAGCTAGTAATCTATGTTTTCCTTTAGTTTATCAGTTACTCCGTAATTGCGATGAACGTTCCAGCCAGAGATAATGGGCTAGTTTAGCTCGTATACAGTGGTGCAGGTAGTATTCTTTAAGTGTGTGTGTGGGATGGGGGGGGGGGTGAAGGGATAACCCTCACCGATTATGCATCACGCCGATTTTTAACTTTCTATCGAGAACCATCTATGAAGCATACGAAAAATCAGGCCTTTAGTGGGATAGGGGGGGGGGGGGGGGCGCTCCCTCGGCTGCACCACCGTTATGTACTTGTCTAAAATGTTTGTTACGGAGCTTAATTCTGCTACATTTTAGACTAGTCATTGCTAGAAAAAAACAAACTACCTGCCCAGAACCGCCCCCGGCGTTTGACATTGCTCTATATGGCTTAAATTATTTTGGCAAATGATTGCATTTGTGCTATGTGGTACATATGGTTTGCCTTTTGTGAAATTGGTGTGATTGAGCGTGTATTTACCTTACCATTGAAACCCATGTTTGTTTTTGAAACTGAATTCAATTACACATGTAAACTGGCAGGCAGATTACGCCGAACAAGCACCGTAAATGCTGCTTTCCGTAAAATTGGTGGTTGAAACCGAACAACTGTTAGCTCTAGTGCGAACTTCTGAGTCAGTCCAATTTGAACCAATTACAATCCTTCCCCGAAATCACAAAGTCGTGAAGCACATTTCACCTTGGCTGATATCGGTCTGAACCACTTCTTTCCGCAGCATGTTGGCCACAGCCATCAATTTTAAATTGTTCCAAACTGACCGATAGGACTGAATTCCCAGGCGGTTATCGGCTTTTGAACTGACATGGCCAAGCCCGCAGCCAACCAATTCGCAGCAGTATGATTTATTGATATGTGTTTTAGCGCTGCATCAGTGAACCCTGGCCTGACACATTTGTTTGTGTCATGCCTGACACATGATACAAACACTGATTTTCCTATAAGCTGGCCATTTATTGGTGCGTTGGTGCCCAAAGGTGTCAGGGCACTTTAGGCTATCTTTCGGTAACGTGGTGACGAATGATAACCGTTGCGTCTGTAATCAGCTGGTTATCCCACGCCGACTAAGGAGACTTGCTGTAATTAACGTCTTGATTACTGTGTGGTTATCAGCACATGCGTTGTCTCCCATATGTGTTTCACATTCTTATCGGAACAATTTAAGAGCAATTTGATCCTCTTGCCTTCGGTCCTTAAAAACAACTGAAATAGAAAGCTGGCGTTCGATGTATCTGTTTAGCATACTGAGGTGGGCGCTTCATTTGGTGTGAGTGTAGGTCCCGGGCGCGTTCCCAGAACGCCCTGAGTGAGTGGTTCCCACTTCCGAGATATGCAAATGAAATCACACGGAAATTCGGTCGTTTCCACTACGAGCCTTCATTATGCTTCGGGAGTTCGTTTGCCAAATGTATTTGTGAAATCTTTTGACAATATTTTTTTCTTGCCCGCTGTCAAGGGTGCATGTAGCAATAAGCTGTTCTCAATCTGACGCATCCGCATCGAAGCCCATGTTCTGTTTAATTTAAGGTTGGCAAAAGGTCGTTGCTTTCCTTGTTCGTGACATGTATCATCGGGTTAAGCTGGCTGCGTTTGGAAGTCGGAGGAAATGGAAAAGGCTATTGCGGCATGCAAATTACCGAACTTTCCGGTGCGCTGGGAGATGAAAGCAGCGAGGACTTTGCATAATGAGCTATTGAATTTCAAGGGCACAAGCCAGCAATCTGGAATCTATATGAGAACTGAACAAATTAATTGGAAAATCAAATCCTGCCACGGTGAGAGGCTGGTGGCGCCATAAAATCTCAGCTGTTGCGTGCGTTGCAAATCATCAATGTCACGCACACACAGCCTGTGGTATCGTGACGCCATAATTCTACCTGCCTCAGCACACCCACACCCACACCCACACCCACACCCACACCCACACACCCACACCCACACCCACACCCACACCACACCCACACCCACACCCACACCCCACACCACACCCACACCCACACCCACACCCACACCCACACCCCACACCCACACCCACACCCACACCCGCACCCCACACCCACACCCACACCCACACCCACACCCACATCCACACCCACACCCACACCCACACCCACACCCACACCCACACCCCACACCCACACCCACACCCCACACCCACACCCCACACCCACACCCACACCCACACACCCACACCCACACCCACACACCACCCACACCCACACCCCCCCCCCACACCCACACACCCACACCCACACCCACACCCGCCCACACCCACACCCCACACCCACACCCACACCCACACCCACACCCACACCCACACCCACACCCACCCCCCCCCCCCCCCCACACACACACACATACACACACCACACATACACACACACACACACACACACACACACACACACACACACACACACACACACACACACACACACACACAGTGGTGCGTGACGTCACAGCTGTTCCGGCATGGGCTGCCCGCAGTGCGTTAACGCCCGCGCTGCCATCTCGTTACGGCACTCCAGCAGTGTCGGACCAGCCCGCGGCATGATGACGTCACATCCGCGTCTCGTGTTTCAGTGCCGGTGCACACAGCCCGTGGCGTGGTGGGCGGTGACGTCACGCTGCCGTGCGCGGCCATGTCGCCGCGGCCCGGCGACAAGCTGGAGCTGGTGCTCTGGTACCGGCACGACTCCAGCTCGCCCTTCTACACGTGAGTCGGCGAGTCGCCAGCGGCCGCGCCCACCGGCCCTTGCGCTCCCACGCTAGACATGGCCGGTCACCCTCCCACGGCTTCGCCAGGGTTCCGCCGCCGGGGCTGTAGAGGCGGGAGTGCTGCTTACGTAAGCCGCTGCACGGGTCGGCAAGCACCCTGGATTAAAGCGGGAAGACGCACCAAACAACCATTCCATGCCACCTACTGAAAGGTTTCATCTACCGTAACATCTCCTCCTGATTCAGACAGTGTGCCTCGTTCTGCCGGACGTTCCCTTTGTGCGCTGCGTATTTCCTCTAAGTTTTAACTGCAGCATGTACTTGAATGCGTCCTCATCTGAGTCCAGACCTGGAGGAGTGAATCGACAGCGGTGGTACGGGCGCGCTGGTGCAGCACCACATTGGTGCAGATGGATGGGATTGGCGACAGCGGCACGGGCGGGGTGGTGCATCACTCCGCTATAGCGCCACGGTACAGCCCGCTCAGGCCACCACTGCATAACTCTCCGCACTCCGTTGCACCTTGATTGTAGTTGAGAAACTGCTTTTGGGGACACAAAAACTGTATCCTTTTCTAGAAGAAATGGACGGGGAAAAGCTAGTGGGACGAGCTTCTCCAACAAGCGAGTTAAGTGTACCAAGCGGAACCCCTCCCCCACCCCCACCCCCCACCCCAATAACCGCCTGAACTTCTTTACGTGACTCCACTTACATACGAGTCTGGCATGGCGGGACTGACATCCGGACCCACCAGTATACTGTTACACTGGCTAGCATCACATTATCGACGGCTCAGTGCACGGACCTCGTAGTTATGGAATCTTACATTTCTCGAGACGAATGGCTGATTGCTAATGCTGGTCTTGGCCGGGTTCGCGCATACGCAGGAAGCCAGTCTCTTTGGGACCTAACACACACGAGCAGTCGCTTGTCTGTGTGAACCACAAGAGCCGCGGCGACTGATATGCCGTGCTGGGTCCTCTGCAGAGCGTCACAAGACAGTGATGGGTGGTGCATACGAGCACTCATGACATTGACGTTCGTGCGCACTCCCGTGCTTGCCAGCGTTTTTGCATGGCGGTGGTCTGGTGTGTGAATATTTCATGCTGCATGCGTGCTCCTAAATGACAGTGTAGCGTGTTAGGAGGATGGAGGCACGGCCATGACTTTTTTAATGAATACTGATTGCATTTGCGAGAATGCTTGGGTAATTCATGTGATGTAATCCGTAGATGAAAAATGAAAGCAAGCTGACAAAAAAGCTAAGTCCGTTCATAGACTCTTGCACTGGGAAGGGGACGGCCTCAGAGCGTCTAAGATTTTTTTCCAAAAGCAGCTTCTCAACAGCTTTGGGCATGGTACCGAAAATAGGTATAGCTGAGTTCACATCAATTTTACCCTTGCCGTGAAACTTTTAAGGGATCCTGATAGTTCATGATCTGTGATCTCTTTCCCGAGGTCTTATCGGTGATATTTTGCTCGAATGTGACAAATAACGAGTACTTTTTGCAGGAAATGTTTTAAAAAGCTTTCTAGGCCATGCATCTAATGTGCATAACTCTGAAATGTATGAACACCACTTCGTTGGCTTTCAAAGTCAGTTAATCCAAGGTCAAGACGGGTCAAACTTCGGCCCTTTCGACCGGGCCCTTCAAATGTCACATGACTGTAGCCTTAAAGGGAGTGTTCCACATCATTATGGGGTTATGAACTGAAATAACCATTTTGAAGGCCTTTTGGTGCGGTTCACAACCCTACCCTTCCTAAAACCTACAGCCCTCTAGTCTCTGAACAACACGCCCGCAAAGATGCCCAGAGTTTTTTCGGAAAGTATTTTAATGCCACCTCAGCAGTCATGACCCCATAATAATCCCATTCAGACCCTGTGATTCCATAAGTCATGCGGGGATCAAGGCCGAGAAGAACACAATGGTCGAGTCGTTCATAGTGGGCGTTTATGAGTACGATATCCAGATCAGATATAACGGCCGTCCATTGGCTCTAAATCAATGTTGCGCAAGGTACGATGACGTAATCAAACAATGATGTATCGAGCAGCATATTTAGTAAACAGAGAACTGTGTTGTTTACGGCAGTCTTTTCTACGTACAGCGATAGTTATAAGTGACCTTGTTTCATCATATTTGGTCCTTGCTTCGATATTTTCAAATGTGAAACATTTTCGTTAATGGAATATATCATACAGCCTTAGAAGGTGCTTGTAACGCTGTTTTCTCCACTGATGTTGCTTGTGTATTTTTTTTCAGAACGGGCCAATGCAACAATGGCCTTTGTCCAATTGCCAGACGCGACTATCTACTCGTGCCGATCTTATATAGTCTTTCAACATTCAACGTCGTCTTCGGACTTGTGGTAGCATGTTTATTTCTTGGGATAACATAAGGGACATCTTAAGTTTTGATCTGTCTCTTATGACATGCACTGACCTGTACAAGGTGACATTGGCCACTGTTCGCTCACATCTGTGCCATGCAGTTCGGTGTTACACCTCAAATGACGCCCTTTTCACGTAGCTCTAGCTTTCTTATTTTCCAAGATCTTAAAGGGGTCTGTGAGGACCAATCGTGGGCAAATGTGAAAAACTCCCGGGGTGTAGGTGGGAGGAAAGCGAGGAATGACCTCCCTTCCTGAGGTAAGCGAAGTTTAAGAAGCTTCATGCCACCTAGAGTTGCACGGGGGGAGGCTACCTAGCAGCATAATGCTACTACTTGTATGCTGCCGTACATGTTTAATGTAAATTTACGATCGCACTTAGAAAATACTTCCTGATACGCTCGTAGTAACTTCTTAGATAAATTGGCAATGGAACAGGAAGTAATGTGTTGTTATTCTGGTAACAGTGCTGTATTCGTGAAACACAGATAACGCGGCCAGTGGAAATGGAAGCAACACAGAGCACTTGTCTTATTGTCTTAAGATATGCAATCCTTGCATTTGTACATTTTGACGCATTTATAATTTTGACGGGAACGATAGCTGCCACACATTTCCAAAGCAAGAGTGAGTGGACACTACGCCCATGGGACAGGTGGAAGGTGGCTGGTACCACAGTGCCCAGTGACAATTACCATGTGGTCGTCCTTGACGGCTAAATATTTCATCAGTGTGGAAGTGCCAATGCACTCACGACCCCACCTCCATACCAGGCAGTTACGTGCCTGTGAACATGTACGTGTGCGTGCATGTTCACGTACGTGCAGGCTTATTTCTGCCCATGGGTTGTTAAGCTGTGATGTATTCGAAACCTTTGTCACGTTAGGGGTTCTAAACCTCACAGAGGACTGTGAGCATCGCCGGTCCAGCTCATCCCCACAGCCCGTCGAAACACAGCACGTCCTCACAGCCCAGCTGAGCGTCACAGCACAGCTCTCAGCACATTACAGCTTCCCACATCTCCATCGCAATCAGAACGTCCTGACAGCAGTCACCGCGTATGACAGCTCCACCCATTCTGACAGCAGGCGGAAGTCATCACAGCTCAGCTCAACTCACAGGGCAATCCGTCATCGCAACTGAGTCATTCTCGCAGCTCAGGACGTAACCCCGACTGAGCGCATTCTCCCAGCTCAACGCGGCGGGCCACAAATCCAGACGCCATCGCGGCCTAACGCGCCATCGCAGCCCAGCTCGGTCAAGGCAGCGGTGCATACCGGCACCTGTCCGCGGACGTGTCTGCCACGGTCAGCGCGCACGACCTGCGTCGGCCCGCTGCCTGTGACGTTCCCTTCCGGCGTGTTCCGAGCAGGCGGCACTTGTACTGAGGCTCGCCAGAGCGACCTGTCCGCAGCATCGTCACTCGTGTGTGGGCCATTCGGCGCTGTGGCCGTGGCGTGGGTGGCGGCCGGCATGCAGGTGGTAGTTATGGCTGACATGGGTGGGAAGCCTGCACCCACGCTGGCGGCTATTCTGGGCATCATGCCATCCGATGATTCGGTGACGTCACTGGCCACATTCTCCGGCACCCGTTGACTACGACAGAGTGTCTGCTCATTACCTAATTATGCCTGTGTATTTCGAGAGCTGTGTGTGTGGTCTGCAGCCACATCGATGTCAATCATTTACAGTTCACTGGGCCCGCGTCTCAAAATAGCTGGAAAGGTCCTCGGACAATGTCTTCGCCCAGTCCCGGTGGAAATCAACCAACGTATCCGTCTCAATATTTTATTTGTTCATCGCAGCTGGGTTGCAGTTGTTTCCTGTCCTATTTTTAATGTGTACTTTTAAAGTTTAGACTTGTGGTGATGGTTGATACAGACATGAATTGGGGATTATTTATTCGCAGTTTGTTGAAAGAAATATCAACTCTGGAGAGATCATCGATGGAAAGGGGCGAGAGCTTATCTCAAATAGCAATGCCTGCCTGGGCAATTTAGTGATAATGTTGCGCTTATTTCTGGGTGAAGTGATCTCAAAAGATAGCCCGCCCGCGGAGTTCACTCCCAACTCAAAACTCCCGGCGAGCGGAGGCAATGCTACAACAGCACTCATGTAATCACGAGAGCCAAGTTTGTTGCGAGCCCGCCACACGTTCTTTGCTCATCGCCATCGCGTGAATTGACGCTTACGTTAATAAGGCCATTCAGCTTGAATTATGTGCTTTGAATTTGACCTTTATGAACTGGTTGATGGCATTGGCCGAATGCAAATCCGAGCCATCAGATTTTTCGTTCGAAGCATACATGGTTGGTCTGATACTTCATTGCTGCTGCTGTCATGCAAATCACCGACAGCTCTGGTGGGCGGCAGTTTTCTGCAGCAAGTTCGAGCCGACGTTTTTGGTCGCCGCCAATCGAAACGTTAATTCGCCATCAGCAAGTAGCGGGACAATGGCACGTGAATTTGATTGCATTTCTTACAGTGTTGTCTAAACCACGTGATTAAGTTTCTAAAAGCGCATGATATGAATGCATATCACTAACGCTCTTTCCCTCGCTCTTCTTCTCTCCGCCTTACTTCTTGCCATCCGTGACGTCCCCCCTTCTCTCTCCCTCCTCCTCTAAAGTACATATGAGTTTGCTCCGTGCGACGCTGCTCTGCACCGCAGGCAATGTTGAAGGGCTTGACGCATTAGCCATGGTAAATAACATCAGCTGCAGAACAAGTTCACAAGAGCTGCAGTATGCGACTCCTTGCAGGCTCACACTGTTTAAAAATGACGTAACCTCACCTGTGCAAGACTCAACAGCTGATAATGGGATCATCTGAAATGGGGTGATGCTTTGTCACAGACGCGCCAGTACCGCCACGTAGGGGGGTGGGGGGGGGGGGGAGGACCTGTAACCGGCCGTTGCAGACACCGGGCCTCGGTGTCGAGGACGGGTGCAGCCAGGATTTTTTTAAGGGGGAGGGGGGCTCTGTCATCACTCATGGTACGAGAATCGAAAAATCCGGCTTTGGTGCTTAAGTTAAAATGCGGGCATATGGGAGGGGAGGCAGACCCCCACCCAACCACCTCTAGCTCTCTGGATGCGCCTCTGGTACAAAGATGGGATCTGGGAAGCTGGGGAACACGTGGGGAAGGACCGAAGCAATAACAATGCAACCTGCCAAAAACTGTCACCCCGCATGCAGAACGGGAAATGCTGTGTATGGCAGCACATGTGCAAACAAGGCGGCCCCAGAACACACTGACGCTAATTAGCGCGGAAAAGGGTCAATAACGGCGGCTATCTTTAGAAATCAATGACACCTCCGAAGATGGCTGTGGAAAAAAGTGCTCAGAACAAAAAGAGAAGAGAACAAGGGCGAAAGCGAGGGCGGGAGCTGAAGTGGGCCGGGGACGGGCTGAGTGGCGGGGGGGGGGGGGGGAGGGCAGGACGAGGCGTGGACGGGGTAGCGGACGTAACCAGGGCGGGAACTAAAGCGGGGCAGTAACGGGGTAAGGGGCAGAAGCGAGAGCGGAAAAGGGGCGGGAACGGGAGCAGGTGCGGGAATGTGGCGGAGGAGTTGGAGCGTGAGCGGAAGTGAGAGTGAGAGCGGGAACAGGAGTAGGAGTGGGAGCGTGAGAGGGAGTGAGAGTGCGAGCGGGAAGGAGAGTGAGAGTGGAAGCGGGAGCGACAGTGGGGGCGGGGAAGGACGAAATTCAAAGGAGAAGCACAAACGACGGAGCGCTCTTGTAGATTTTTAGTTCATTTTTGCGTCACTTTAGAAAGCGAAACATTTTAAGCATTACTTAAGGCAAGAACAACCCTGTGTGCAATTCACGTAGCACCGGCCTGGCATACGCTGCCAAACAGTGTCAGATACCACATGCACCAGTCTGCGCTGCAGCGTCGTCGGAGCTCCCAGTAGTGCCGTCGATAACTCTACTTGGCTGGAAACATCGGGCAGACAGCTACGCTACTAAATCAGCGTAAATGACGGGAAATAATCTTCGACAGAGGCTGAACTCCTTGCTTTTAATGCATTGTATGTTGAATGTCTACACATTTTGAGCCCATATTTTTCCGTATTGTACTTATTTAAAAATTTTAAGCGTATACGTAATGTGGTAACACATGAATGGTGTGCCGAACATGTGACTTAACCCGTAATATTTAACCCTTAATAATATCACTTAAGCGTGAGTTAAGACGGTAACAGTTATATAAACAGGTTTCTAAACAGTTTGCTCGGATTTGTTGCATGAGTTTAATTTCTTTGCAAGGAAATTAATCGCGTTGGTAGTGCTTGTAGCGCGATCAATATATATATATATATATATATATATATATATATATATATATATATATATATATATATATATATATATATATATATACAAATGTCATACGAGTGTGTTACATGCAACGGCAAATGTACGTTTAGTCAGTTTTTTCATTCCAACAATCGAGCGTTTGCTCGCCTATTCGAATTATATTCTTCATGGTTTTTGGTAAGTCATAAATCAGTTTGCCAGGCGTCGTTTATATTAGTTCAAGCTAGCTGACTTTTCAGGGGCATTCGTTTCCCATCCTCAGAGTAATGTGAGACAGTCTGATGAAAAACATCCGAATATGGCGTAATACGATGCATGCTCTACAAGATATAACCGGGAGTGAACATCATTTAACAGGTTTTGCATCGGAATATCAGTCAAATTACAAAACACACACAAATACAAGCACATCACTTTTCCAGCCAGTATGTCACCGTGGCAAATCCAGGACATCAAATCACCCTGCTGTCATTGGGTGTATGAAAAGGTCCAAAGCGATGCATGACCGACGCTTTTTATTTAAGTCAGGCATTCTTTCTTTGGTGAAGGATGGCTTCGAGAAATTGTAAACGGCATTAAGGGGATGTTTTACATTTGAAGTCATTAAAGCAAGCATCGGATATGATAAATCAAGCTCACGTATAACTATTGGTATACTTTTAAGTAGAAAATACTGCTCTAGACAGCACAATTCTCTGTCTAGTAGATATGCTCCTCAATGCGTCATGGCTTGGTTACGTCATTGCACCATCCACAACATTGATTGAGAGCCAATTGACGGTTGTTATATCTGGAAATCGCGCTCACGAACGCCAGATATGAACACCTCGTAAACTATTTTTTTCTTGGCCGTGATCGCCGCATGGCTTATGGAGTGACAGGAGTTGAATGACGTTATTATGACGTCATGAAAGCCAAAGTGACTTTGAAATACTCTCCCCGATATACCTTTCCCATTTTCTCGAGCGTGTAGTTCAGAAACTAGAGAGGCCTAGGTCTTTAGAAAGGCAGAATTGTCAACAGCACTGAGAGGTCTCCAAGATGCCTATTTCGTTTCAAAACCCCATATAAATGTGGAATATTCCCTTTGACATGCAACAAAACTTGCTTCGATGAAAACATACTGCCAAAGTACACTAATATATGCAGATATATATATATATAGATTATAATATAGAATATATTGTATGTAATGTATATATATAGATTGTATAATATAATATATATATATGCATATACATACGTATATATATTTATATGTAAGTATATATGAAGGTATGTTGAACATAAACTTGGAGGCCGGGAAAGAAGGACAAAAAGGTGTATACAGATATATAAATTAGATAAATAGATAGATAGATATAGATATAGATATAGATATAGAGAGAGAGAAAAGAGAGAGAGAGAGAGAGGAGAGAGAGAAGAGAGAGAGAGCATATTTTTATATATTTTGTTCATGATTATATATATATATATATATATATATATATATATAAACCTGCTTATACACCTGCTTATACATATATATATATATATATTATATATATATATATATATATATATATATATATATATATATATATAGATAGATAGATATATCGATATATCGATATATAGATATATCGATAGATAGATATATCGATAGATAGATAGATAGATAGATAGATAGATAGATAGATAGATAGATATATATATATATATATATATATATATATATATAATATATATATATATATCTCTCTCTCTCTCTCTCTTCTCTCTCTCTCTCTCTCTCTCTCTCTCTCTCTCTCTCTCTCTCTCTCTCTCTCTCTCTCTCTCTCTCTCTCTCTCTCTCTTAATCTTTTGTGTCTGTTTAGTTACTCTACTTTGTGAAGTCGGGGAAGCAACCAGATAGGTCGGTTGTGTGACTCGTCCTATCAAAGCTGCTATAAGCAAAGCATTCTCATGGAACACCTGCTTTGGCATTTTGAGTACTATTTGAGCAGATCGTTAGCTTCGCGCGTATACCATTCTGAGCATCGCCATTTACTATTCTAATTTGATTACACAGCATTGTTCTGGCAAGTGCTCTCATTTGCTTGAATAGTGCATCATTATAGTGTTTGTGCTCACTCCACGTCAGTTTAGCGCCAGCTTGTTCGGCCGGAGGCGGGCACGGCCGCTCGACGGGCGGGCTGTGTGTGTCGGTCG